TGTAGCACAGGTCATCTCTAGCACAGGCTAAAGGTCATAGGCCTTGCAACCAGGTTCCTGGGTACATGCATCCAAGGGAAGGGCAGGAGGATGTAGGTGGAGAGCCAGAGGAAGGACTCTGCAGTGGCTGCTGGGTCCAAGGCTGAGGTCCAGGCTTGATCGACACAACACTCATGCCCTTAGAAAGCTTGCTCAATTCTCACTGGCTCATACTCATATCACTGCCAACTCTGCTAAAGGCCTCCATCTGCATTCTGCCAACTTCTCACTACCTCAAGGGTTTACATCTACCACAGACTGGTGGCGATGACAGTGGCCTCCAGGACAATCGGCTGCGTTGGGAGAAATAGGACTCAAAGCACCAGTTAGGAGAAGAGGCAGGAGGGGATGCCACCCATCTCTGATGAGGGCCCTCAGCCAGCCACTCCCATGAGCTCCAAGCCTCAGAAACCCAGCTAGGTTTGTTTCAGCCATCGTGTGTTGAGTACCCACACATTGGAGGCCTCGAGCTAGGTGACACAAAGATGAATAAGGTCTTGCTGGTGCCTGTGAAACTCAGGGCCTGGCAGGTGATTAAGATGGTTAAACAAGTAATTACCACACAGTCAGCTACTTGTAATAATAGAAGCCAAATTAAGACACCAAAGCAGGAAAGGGCAATGAGGAATTACCTCTGTCAGGGAGGGGAGGTTCAGTGAAGGCTTCAAAGAAGAGATGGCATTATCAACAGGGTTTTCAACCAGTTTGTTCCGGTTCCAACCTCTGCAGAGAATTTGCATTTCCACCCCAGATATACTGAATCAGAACCTACACCTGAACAAGATCCCCAGGTGATTCTTACATACAATAAATTTTGAGAACTACTTCTCTGCCAGTGGTTCTCAGAACTGGTCCCTAACTAGCAGTATTAGCATCACCAGGGAACTTGTTAGAAACGCAAATTCCAGCAGGGGTTCAAAACAGGAATGAACTAGTTCGAAGCCCTGGTGTCTTGCTTATTTAGTGCTGCTGTAACAGAAATACTACAAGTGGATGGCTTTAACAAACAGAAATTTTTTCTCTCACAGTCTAGGAGGCTAGAAGTCTGAATTCAGAATGCCAGCTCTAGGGGAAGGCTTTCTCTCTTTGTCAGCTCTAGGGGAAGGTCCTTGTCATCAATCTTCCCCTGGTCTAGGAGTCCTGCCCCATTAACATAACTGCCACTAATCCCACCTCATTAACATCATACAGATAGGATTTACAACACATAGGAAAATCACATCAGACAACAAAATGGTGGACAATCACACAATACTGGGAATCACGGCATAGCCAAGTTCACAGATTTTGGGGGACACAATTCAATTCATGACACCTGGTTTTCAAGACAAACTGGAGCTCCTGAGGAGACAAGAGGCTGGGCAACACATTTCAGGCAGAGTTACCGGCAAGGCAGAAAGGTTTAAGAATGCACAGGGTATTCACTGAACTGTGAGTAATTTGATGCTATGGGATGAGGCATAAAATGGGACCAGTCAAACAAGAAGGTGTTAGAACATATAAGGCCTTGTACGCCAGCTAAAAAGAGCTCTGGTATCACAGTGGTTAAAGTGCTTGGCTGCTAACCAAAAGTCGGTGGTTCAAACCCACCAGCCGCTCTGCAGAAGAAAGATGTGGCAGTCTGCTTCCATAAAGATTACAGCCTTGGAAACCCTACGGGGCAGTTCTACTCTGTCCTATAGGGTCGCTATGAGACAGAATTGACTCAACAGCAATGGGTTTGGTTTTATGCCAGCTAAAGAGCTTGGCTTGTATCCTGTAGGAGATGAGAAGGCCTTGAGGGGCTTTAATCAGGGGAAAGTTCCAGGTTGGATATGTGTTTTACACAGACTGCTAGACAGCAGGGATGATGGGGAAGGGTGCCTTGGGTTGAAGGTCAATTCCAAAATCCAAGCATGAAATAACAATGGCCTGAACTTTTTTCTGTGGAGAGGCCCTACCATTTCTCCCAGCCAGGCTTGGTGGAGCAAACCCACAAGTTCTTACAGGTTTTAGCAAATGACCCAGGTAAGAGAGAAAATAGAGGCACTAATGCACAGTGCAGAAAACACAATTTTCCTGGACAGTGTTGATGTATATTTTTTTTCTTAAGAAACAAGCCAAAATAAGCCACTGACTTTGCCAATATAAGAACAGCTTCACTTGGGACCTGTCCAAGGTCAGGTTGATTTCCTACTCATCAAGGTCCAGCATCAGTTCAAGAACTTGATCTTGACACAGAACTGGGTTGCTTTTCCCAATTTTACACACAAGAGAGCTGGACATCCTACCATCAGCACTGATACTTTGGAAAGACTTAAAAGTGACACCCACAACAACCAGGATTCCAGTTTAGAATCTCGTTGTTATGGGGCACCATCGAGTCAGTTCTGACTCATAGTGACCCCATGTACAACAGAACAAAACACTGCCTGGTCCTGCACCATACTCAAAATCGTTGTTATGCTTGAGCCCACCACTGCAGCCACGGTGTCAGTCCATCTCACTGAAGGTCTTCCTCTCTTTCACTGACCCTCTACTTTACCAAGCATGATGTCCTTCTCCAGGGACTGGTCTCTCCTGGTAACTTGTCCAAAGTACGTGAGACGAAGTCTCACCATTCTTGCTTCTAAGGAGCATTCTGGCTATACTTCTTCAAAGACAAATTTGTTCATTCTTCTGGCAGTCCATGGTATATTCAATATTCTTCACCAACACCATAATTCAAAGGCATCAATTCTTCTTCGGTCTTCCTTATTCATTGTCCAGCTTTCGCATGCGTATTAGAATCTTGGGCCTGGCTATTTCCAGACTTGATCCACACCCTTAGTACCTCAATGCTTTCTCCTTCTGTCCTGTCCCTTGTTTTGGTCAGGGAGTAACTGCCTCCCTCCCTGGGGGTAGCCTCCTCTGAAATGAAGTCTGTGTCACGTTTACACAGAGAGTAGAAAGATCAAATAGATGCTTCTGCTTACTAGCTGTGTGACCTTGGACAAGTTACTTAACCTCCCTGAGACAGTTGCCTCCTCTGTCAAATATGGATACCAATAATAACAGTAACTCTATTTTGAGGTTATATGACAAGATGTTGTTGTTAGGTTTGTCGAGTCGATTCTGACTCATAGCGACCCTATAGAACAGAGTAGAACTGCCCCATAGGGTTTCCTAGGCTGTATTCTTTATGGAAGCAGATCACCAGGTCTTCCTCCCACAGAGCCACTGGGTGGGTTTGAACTGCCAAGTTTCTGGTTAGCAACTGAGCGCTTAACTGTTGTGCCACCATGTCTCCTTATACAATGAGATAATATATGTAAACACTAAGGGCCAACATTCACATTTCTTACAGGCCTATGAAGACAAGGAGAAGGAGGAAGGAAAGGATTTTCAGAATCAGACAGTCCAGAGTTCCAGTCACTGCTCAAACACTTGTTGGCTGTGTGATCTTGGGCAAGTTACTTAACCTCTCTGGTCCGTAATTTTCGCCTCTGTAAAATAGGGATAATACTACCTATCTTGCAAGGGTAACTTAGTGAGATAACAGATAAGAAAGAGCCTAATACTTAGCTTGACAGCTCCAAGGCATTTAAGAAAACCAAAAAAACCAAACCCATTGCCATTGAGTCAATTCTACTCATAGCAACCCTACAGGATACAGCAGAACTGCCCATAGGGTTTCCAAGGCTGTAATCTTTATGGAAGCAGACTGCCACATCTTTCTCCTGCAGAGCACTGGTGAGTTCAAACCACTGACCTTCTGGTTAGTAGCTGAGCACTTAACTGTTGCACCACCAGGACTCCTTGGCATTTAAGCAGTGTTCCTAAAATCAGAATTGCTGCGTTCTCAGCCCCGAGTGGAACTTAGGGAAAAATCTAGTTTATATTCTAGCCCTCCTGGACCACAACTGACCAGCACCAACTTTGCCACCCTAGATGGGAAGAACATGCAGAAACAAGGAGGGGCCAGTCTGTAGGGAGCCAGGCCTCCTCATGCACTTCACCACCAAGGAACACTGCTCTCCTTCATTACTGCCAAGGGAGGCTGCTCAGTGCCCTGTAACCCAATGTGCTCTCTCTGGACAAAGGAGATCAGGGAGCCAGGCTCGCCCTTCCCTGCACCCAAGTGTTTACACTTGTGAAGCGGAGAAGAGCAATACCCCTCTGTCCTGGCTGAGGACAACTGGCGGACAAGTGGAACATCCATCTGCTAAGGAGACCCCAAAGCGCTGGCCCCCGATGTCTTAGGACCCTCCATAAAAGGCAAGTTATTTTAAGCCTCTCCTGAGCCTGAAACCTGAGCAAATGAAGCAAATGGCTTCGGGACAAAGACCAGAAAAGTTTTTAAGGCCTCTCATTCCGCCAGAAACACACTTAAAGTTATAAAAATTTAAAGCTCACGACCTCTCTTGGGTTCACTTTGTGCTAGGCTTTGGTTTAGAGGAAGACAAAGCAAAACCCAAAACCCTCAAATCAATGGCTCATTTGAGCGCATCAACAACATTCACAAAAAATGCCTGCTCTCTCCCACTCTGTCCTGGGCACTGCAGGGGCTGAGCTCGGGCGGACAGAAGCAGTCAACTCCACTTCCCTGCCAACAGTTTTAGATTGGGACAGACTGAGGCTGGTGTGGAAACTTGTTTCTTTTTTTAACAGGGAATGGGGCCAGGAAGCTAGCCAAGGAGCAGGTTAGACTGAGGCCCCAGCCAGGCATCCATGGTCAAATCCATGGTCAAATCCAAGGTATCTCAGGTGCAAGGAATGGATGCAGGTGGCAGAGGGAGGCAAGGGCTCCAAGAGGGCAAGGCTGCCCCTAAAAGCATCGCGAAGCTGGGTGTGTAGATTGGGAAACCCCAGGGTCTCCTGGGAGTCTTTTCAGTGTCACGGCTTAGGAGTCCAATGTGGGTGTGAGGCGACAAGTATACATCTCTCCCACAGACCACAAAGCCCACATCATCTCTCATCCCCAGCCCATCCCACTGTCTTACTTTTGCTAGGCAGTTCCTCTTGGGCCAGTCCGTTGGAGGGGGCCAGGGGGGCGCTGCCACTCTCATCCAAGGTCAGGATCAGAGGCACGTCATCATCTAAGCTCACAGCCATGGTCTCCTGTCCTACAGTCCTCAGGATGCGATGGCCAGGGCTTTAAGTAGTCTCAGGTTTGATGCCCCTTTCCAAGCCAATGCCCCCAAGGTGCTCCTCAGAAACTCCTCCATTAGCGGCATCTTCTAGGGTTTAGGGGATATAGAAAGAGAGAGAATTATTCAAATACAACCGTCACTGATGAGAATGTTCTGGAAATAGATAGTGGTGGTGGTTGCACAATCTTGTGTGCATGCTAAAAACCACTGAATTGTACACTTGAAAATGGTGGATTTCATGGTATGTGAATCATATCTCAATTAAAAAGAGTATTACAGTAGAACACTGTTAACACACACACACACAAACCCTGCAAGAACATACACTGAAAAGTTAAGAGTAATGAAATTTGGAGAATGAAATTATGGCTAATATGTTCCACCACCCTCCCTATACGTGTGTGTCTTATAAAGATTTAAAGATTTGGAAAAAAATATATAACCATTAAAATAGTATTGGTTAATACTCTTTTTTTGAGTACTATGTACCAGGCACTCTTCTAGCCCCATGAGATAGAGAGGATTATTATCCCTCTTTTACAGAGGTGGAAGCCTTAGACACAGAGGGGTTAGGTAACTTGTGCAAACACCCATAGCTAGAAAGCCAAGCTTTGAACAACACAGTCTGATTCCAGAGCCGTGCTCCCAGCCACTACCCTACAATTCCTCTAAGAAGCAGCCTTGGTATTTATGCAGCGCCTAGCGTCAACGACCTTAGCACGCCAGGTCATCGGTTGTTATTAGGCGCTGTTGAGTTGATTTTGACACCCCATGTGACAGAGCTGAACTGCCCCATAGGGTTTCCTAGGCTGTAATCTTTATGGGAGCAGTCTGCCACATCTTTCTCCCGCGGTGCTGCTGGGGAGGTTCAAACCGCCAACCTTTTGGTTAGCAGCCAAGTGCTTAACCACTGTGCCACCAGGGCTCCTTTCCATTTCCCCTTAGGAGGACCAAAGGAAAAGCAAAGACTCAGCAGATCTGACTGCGGACCTTTGAACTTGAAAACAGCTGTAGGTTCCTTCCTCCAGCTGTTGCCTTTTGGGCTCAATCAACTTTGCCTCCAAACTGATCCACTGAAATGACAACCAGGCAACTTAGTTCGTTCACAGAAATCATCAAAATGACTCCAGGCAGACCCTAGTGCATTAACAGGGAACTTCAGAGCTTCTTAAAACAAGGCAGCAAAAGTAAATACCGTTCTACTTGCTGCAAGCTTCTAACTCTGCCTGGCTAACTTCCTGTGAGTTTAAATTTCCTCCCAATCTGGGGATTTATTTTGCTTCTGAATCTCAGTAGTGACGAGGTAGAAGAGGAAATACCAAATAAGACACCACCAGTAAGCTGTTTTAGAAATTATGTGGGGTTTATTTTGTTTTTTAACCTTTTACCATTGATACTTTCAAACACTCACAAAAGTAGAGAGAATATGTAAATGAACTTCCTTGCGTTCACCACCAGCTTCAACAATTACCAACATTTTGCCATTCTCACCTGTGTTTATTTTGAAGCTGGGAGACTATATAAGCCTTCTTAACTCATCAAGAGGTTTCCTAATTTTATCATTATCGTAATGGCTACTGGCTTTGTTGGTTTGTACGACTGCTTGCTTGCATGGTCTTAGCTCGGTGGGTTCTCCCACTACAGGGAGATCTGCCAATGTCTGCAGCCATTTGTGACTGTCACAACTGGCAGGAGGGAGGGAGGGTTGCTACTGGCACCTAGTGGGTAGAGGCCAAGGATACTGTTAAGCATCCTACAATGCACAGGACAGCCCTCCACAACAAAGAATTATGAGGCCCAAAGTGTCAATGGTGTCTGTTGAGAAACCCTATCTTAGCCAATATTCCCATTTTATAGACGAGGAAACTGAGGCTTAGAGAGGTTAACTGAACTTGCCCCTTGTAAGTAAACAACAGGGAAGTAATAGAGTCCAGATTTCAACCCGGTAGTCTGAATTCAGGGACTCTCTCCCTTTAACCACTACCATATACCTCTTCCCAGAACCAGTGCCCCACTGGATTCAAAACCATCGTTTTAGAGGGGAAAAGTTGTGCCCAGACAGGGGAAAGGACCTACCCAAGGTCACACGGTGCAGACAGAGCTACAGCGCAGAACTCCTGAGTCCTAGCCCAGTGCTCCTTCCCAGTGGACTTTGCTTCTGCCTCTATAGAACACCCAGGAGGGGAGGGTCAGCCCTGGGGAAAGGGGATCAGCAGCTGTCCCGTCACCCGCTGGGGCAGCCTGACCCGAGAATGGGCCCAGTGTGGGGCTGCCTGAGGGCGCCAGGAAGAGAGCTGGTGGAGAAGAAGGAAAGCGCAGAAGGGCCAGTTCCACGTGTTCCCCACTCTGGGCCCCAAGTGGGAGCCGAACCAGGGGGCCAGGGGAGAGAAAAGGGAGTGCAAAGCGCCGGCGTGGGCTGGAGGGAGAGAAGCACGGCGGTGATTTCCCTGCAGCCCGCCAGGACCCCTCCTGCCCGCCCCCACACTCCGATGCCCAGAAGCAACCTCATACTCAGCGCCTTCTGACCTCTGCCCTCTGCCCTCTCCCCCAGGCCAAGTCCTCGCGTCCCCCGGATTCTTACACGCGCCGCCCCAGCAACCCGGACCACGCGCCAGGGTCCGCACAGAACAGCACAGCCCGCTGGCGCCGCCGCCAAAGCTCCGAGCCCGGAGCTGTTGCAGCCGCTGCCGCCGCCGTCGCCACTTCACTCGCCGCCACTTCAGCCGCTGCCACCACAGCAGCTGCGCCAGCGCTCCCATCCGCCGCCTACCGTCTCCTCCACACCGCTGGCCCCGCCCCATTTCTCTTGTGCCGCAGTCTATTGGCTAATTGGGTTGCTATGCTGAGCTATGATTGGTCGAGTCTCAAGTCCTTCTCCAGTCTTCGCCCACTGTCCGAGCTAAACTCCCTGCCACCTCCTTGGGAAGGGGCGAAACGAAGAAGTTCCGCCCCTTTCCCCTCCCACCACCCCGCCTTACTCGTTTGGCCCAACCTAGAGGGAGTTCCGGCTCTCTCAGTTGGTGGAGAGTTAGCGAGGCATTACTTCTGATTGGTCAGACCCCAGGAGGCGGGATAAAGTAAGCGAAAGAAGTAATTGAATGGTGGAAAGGAAAGTCAGTCAGATGCTGAGTCTCGCCTCCTGAGATTGGCGGGTAACCTAGCAACGCTGGTACCTCGGAGGTAAACCGTGGGTCGAGAGACCTGGAAGCCTGAGAACAGGTGAGTGGCCAGGTGGGTGAAGGAATGGAGGTGAGGGGGAGATGTAGAATGAGGTCTCGCCTGCCCTCCTTTGGATCCCTGAGGAATAGTAGCCCGCACCCCATCCTGTCCCAACCCCAAAACCCTACTCTCCGGCCCGTCTCCCCTCTATTAAGTGGAGTCACATCATAATTTATTTCAAGTCAAAAATACAGTCAAACATAGGTGCTGGGAGTGATACGGTGGTTATAAATCCCCTACCATTCCACCCAACGATCATATGTTCCAGGGTGCATGCGATGAAAGGCTTCTCACATGACTGAGCATTTCAATTACATAATTTTGATTAGGGTTCCTGGTGGCATAGTTGTTAAGAGCTTGGCTACTAATCAAATGGTCGGCAGTTCAAATCCACCAACTGCTCCTTGGAAACCCTCTGGGGCAGTAGTTCTACTTTATCCTATAGGGTCACTATGAGTTGGAAATGACTCCACCAATGAGTTTGGGGTTTTTTTGTTTTGTTTTGTTTTGTTTTTTGGCAATTTTGATTACACCAATTTTTGCCTTATGTGCCCACTTTAGAGCCTAACTGCCATCCCCATCCTTAAAATGCAATTTCATTGCACATACCTCAGACAAAGGGTTTGTTGTGAGGATTAAATGAGATACAGCAATGAAGAGCTCAGCAAAGCTAAGCAACATAGTAAGTGCTCAGTAAATTGTGGCAAGTATTATTGTTATTATTAATTTTCTAAAAGCACATCTGGCCACGAGTCTTCCAGCTTAAAACAGCTCCAAGGAAGTTCTCTCATGTCATACCTTAAATATTCACACGTTCATCAAGTATTTAATGAGTGCCTACTAAGGGCCAGGCACTGTTCTAGGTGCTGGTGTAGAACAAACAATAAAGCAACTTGACTCCTCTCCTCATGGAGCTTGCAGTCTATGGTGGGAGATAGACATTCATCAAATAACATACAGATTAATGTGAAATTACACCTGTGGACATTCACTTCCTATGATGGAATAGGAGGTCAACACTCTCCTTCTCAAAAACTAGCAACTACGAAGCTAGACAAAACTGTCGAGGGCTATTTCAGCCCCCTGGAAATCGACCAAAGGCATACAACAAGTTGAGAGAGCTTATTCATGAAAACTACTGAACTTGGAGTTGGTGGTGCACTTAACTGGGGCTGCTCCTCTTCCCGCTCACCCAAGTTCTGTCAGCATGATAGTTCAACAAGGGCAGGGCAGGCCATGAAAACCAATAGTTTCACTGTCATTGCTCACTTGATTTGGAGTGTTGTCAGTTAAAGTAGGCTATGTTAATGGCAAGTAAACAGGGAGGGCCAGCAGCTCTGGTTGCAGCATTATTCATAATAGCCCAAAACTGGTTATTGCTGTGCTAGTTGCTGTCGAGTCAATTCCGACTCATGGCAACCCCATGTGGGCACAGTAGAACTTCTCCATAGGGTGTTCAAGGCAAGCTGATCGCCATGCCTGACTTCCGAGGCGCCTCTGGGTGGGTTTGAACTGCCAACCTTTCGGCTAGTAAACGAGCACTTAACTGTTTGCACCACCCAGGGACTCCTCCTGGTCCCAGAGGCACGTCTAACTCAACCACATACAAATCTGAACTCACCACCTTCTGTCCCCACCCACCACTCCACTCTTCAACCTCTGCTTCTCTTCCTGTCTTTGCCCTTTTGGTAAACAACCATCCAGCAAGCAACCCAAGCCAGAGAACTGGGCATCATCCTTTATTCTTTCCTCTCCCTCATTCCCTGCGTATAGAAGCCTTGGTGGTGCAGTGCTTAAAGCTCTTGGCTGCTAACCGAAAGGTCAGGGGTTCAAACCCACAAGCCACTCCTCAGGAGAAAG